TATTATTATTATTATTATTATTATTATTATTATTATTATTATTATTAACATACTCTGATGCTAAGGAGTTCTACTCCCCCTCCCCAGCTGAAAAGAAATCTGTTCCAAATGCAAAACATAAGCAGAGGAGAGGAGTTTCAGTTTCAGTTTTAGTTTCACAGCTCCAAACAGCTTTAATATAAAATAGTTGAGCTAAGCCATGCCCAGGTTCCTTACTGTCTCCTTCTTGCTCACAGAGGAAATACTCTTTCAGTGTCCAAACAGCCCCTCAACTCTCTCACTTACTGACAGGACGCTAACCAGATGAATCGATGCTGGTAGGCAGAGGCAAAAAAAAAAATTCCCTTATTTTCCTCCCCAAAAGCTAAGCCCAACCACATAGTTTCGTAGTGAAGCACAGGTATCGAGCTAGTATGTAATATAATAATATATTATATTATTTCTTTTTCAGATTTTTGGCATGATCTTCAGCATGGTTCTTTTTTGTGCTATCAGAAGAGACCGAGAGATGGTCTGAAGCCATTTTAGAAAGTCTCCTCCCTTCATACAAAGAATCTCCAGTTATTAACTTTGCATTTTGAATAGCATTTCTAAAAGTATATATTTCATTTTTAAATGCTTTATTTAGTTTGGATGTTCTTAATTTTTTTTTCCTCTGTAAGTTTTTAAATCTTATTAAAAGGAATCTACTCTTGGAAAGATACTATATTTGTAAAGCTAAAGCCCTACCCACTTGTATATAAAGTTTTTGTCTCTAAATTGACCGTCTTGCTTTAAGCTTAAAACTGGGATGTAATTTAAGTTGGAGAAATTTTCATACTTAATAAAGATTTAAGACGACGTTTTTGCAAAAGAAGTCTTTTTTTGGCATATGAATTTTAACCCGTTGGGTGGGTTTTTTTATGGAACATCTTACAAATTCTACTATTATAGTTATGAACGACTGCAAATTCTTGAATTTGGCCCTTATCCTCCTGTTCATTTTGGGGGGAAGGATACATTTAATGGGTGGAAATTTTAAGGGCTATTAAAGTGATTCTGTTGTGGCCCGCCAGCAGCCAGCAGAACTGGCCACAGACTCGGACAGTGAGGGTCTGGGGAAGGCTCTGACGAGGAGTCTGCGTCAGAGGCAAAGATGGGGCCAGGTTTGTCCGACAGTCATCAGCTGCTTTTGGAGTTGGAGATCAGTGGGGTAGAAGAACAGCTGGAGCCTGTTCCTGATGTGCACATGCACAGAGCTGCCAGGCAAAGGGAACAGCTAAGAAACAAGGGTCAACTCGGGAGTAAAGGCACAAGTGGATGGTGAATGACCCCTCCCATAGGGAATAAATAGGAGCTAAATAAATAGGGAGTGGTGTTTGCAGGAGACAAGTAGTTCATTTAATTAGTGTGAAGATTTGTTCATGACTCACAGAGACTCTTTGCCAAGTATTTTCTTGTACAGTGTTGCGCTTAGAAGATATCGGCCTGGCAACCCTCCAAGCCTGATAAGGTCTGTGATTGTAATTCACCTTTGAAAAACTGTTTGCTGGAATTCACATTAGCCTAATAAAAAGGAGTTTTGTCGGGACAAGGAGTGTGCTTCGTGATTTTGTGAAGCCGAGGTCAGAACAGATTCTGTGATTTACCATTAATGCCTGATTAGGACGTAAGAGCAGCAATATTACAAGCCAAGGGGAAAACCTGGTGTTAGCCAAATGGAAGCAAGTCAACATAAGGTTGGTCGATCATTTTGTCAAGCTAAAAGAACACATAGCAGCAAAGTCTGTAGAGATCCTCGGTCATCTAGGTCAGGGGTCCCCAACCACCAGTCCGTGGACTGGTACCGGTCCGTGGAACAAGTCCTACCGGGCTGCTGGGCACCGCCATCTTTTTTTTGATGAAAAAGTGCTTCCGGTGAGCTTTTCCGGGTAGAAAGCTCACTGGAAGCACTTTTTCATCAAAAAAAGATGGCGGCGCCCAGCTAATGCCGGTACCGGGCTGCGCCATAAAAAAGGTTGGGGATACCGGGCCGCGGTGTAAAAAAGGTTGGGGATCACTGATCTAGGTCATGGTGCTTTTTCAGGAGGCAACTGGATTTTCTTGTTTTTTTCTTTTGCTTCTCATCCAAGAAGCTTTTTCAGCTATGACAGGATTGTGGCAGAGGTGATCTTAGGCAGGTTCTGACCAGTTCTGGAGAACCAGTAGCGGAAATTTTGAGTAATTTGGAGAACCGGCAAATCCCACCTCTGACTAGCTCCACCCCCATCTCTTCTCTGGGTGGGTCTCCTTTGGTTGCCCTGCACAGGAGAACGGAGCTGGAAAGCGGGTTAGTGGGGTGGGGAGGGAATGGGGATTTTGCAGTATCCTTCCCCTGCCACGGCCACCAAGTCACGCCACGCCCACAGAACCGGTAGTAAAAACAAAATTGAATCCCACAAGGATTTATATTCCTTGCAGGCAGCTGGTCATTTGCACCCTTTTAGAGGGTCGTTGAGGCCACCTGGAGGTTTATCGGGTGTCCTCACGATCACCTGAGTAGTACCCTTGGTTCTTGTTAACAAGAAAGTGCAGTTGCCTCTTGAAAAAGCACCTTTGGGACAACCATGAAACTGAGTGACTGAGAATCTCTACAGACTTTTAGCTATGCAATTTGGGATGAACACCCTTGGAATGGTGTGGGAGTAGGAATGGATTTCCAAGGGGAAAAATGCAGACTACAGGAACCAGGAGCACTACTCAGGTCAGGGGACCCCAAAGCGCATGCTGATAACCAGCGAACCCCTTGTCAACGAAAGTGCAGCCCCACCTCTGCTTGGACGTCTCGCTTAGCAACAGAAATGTTGGACTCGGTTGTAGTCGTAAGTTGAGGACTTCCTATATATACAAGCAGATGAGCATAAACACTGCACACAAACTTTCTCAGGACTTTTTATCGTGCCACAAAGACGGCTAATAGAAACCACAGTGGGTCAAGATGTCTGTCATACGATACAAATTAGTGTTTCTTAACCTCGGCAATTTTACGATGGGCGGGCTTCAACTTCAATGGGGAATTCTGGGAGTTGAAGTCCTCCCCTCATAAAGTTGGCAAGGTTGAGAAACAATGTAAATTAATGGCAGAATTGGCATCGGGACTACAATTGTTCCAATTGTCAATTGTTCCTTTTCCCTCTGCTAGGTGTGCCAGTCCACAAAGCTGAGGCGCACACACACACACACACACAGACCCAAAAAAAACATTTAGTGGATTTTGCCACCTGCTGCTGACAAACTACACAGGTTGTGGGTTTGCTTCCAGCCACCATCTCAGCAGTTTTAGAAAGCGAGGCTTAGAAACTAGGTTGAAGCTGTCATAATTAAGGTGAAGCAGGCCCGTGAGCAGATCAGACAAAGACAAAAGGAGTCTTGTCTAAAAGATCCCTCCAGGGAAATGGATGAAAGAAAAAAGTCATTAAGGAACAAAGTGGTGCGGGGGTGGGGGGGTGGGGGGGGGAGGATCTCACCTGAACCAGACAAAGGATGTTGGGCCTGGGGGCGGGAAGCAATCCCAGCTAATCAACTAAGCAAGAACTTGTGTGTGTGTGTGTGTGTGAGAGAGAGAGAGAGAGAGAGAGAATGATAGATATAAATAGATAATGATATATAGCTAGACAGATTGATGATAGATAGATTAGATAGATAAATATAGATTATAGCTACAGTAGATGATAGAGAGAATTAGATATAAATAGACAGATAATGATAGACAGACGATAGATTAGAGAGACAAAGAGAGAGAGAATGATAGATATAAATAGACAATGATAGACAGACAATAGATTAGAGAGAAAGAGAGATAGAGAAAATGATAGATATAAATAGACAGATGATAGACAGACAATAGAATAGATTAGATAGAGAGAATGATAGATATAAATAGACAGATAATGATAGACAGACAGATAGGTGATAGATTAGATTAGCAGGGAGTGTGAGAGAGAGAGAGAGAAATGATAGAAATAAAATAGATAGACCTTACTATATATATATATATGGAGAGGGAGGGGGGAGAGGAGGAGGGAGAGGAGGAGGGAGTATATGAAGATTCTCTGTCATCCAGGTCATGGTTGTCCCTGAGGTGCTTTTCTGAAAGGCACCTGGACTTTCTTGTTTTTTTCCTTGAAAACGTTTTGCTTCTCATTCAAGAAGCTTCTTCAGTTCTCACTGAATGTTGGGGAATGGAAGGATTTATATCCTTCGCAGTTCTGGAAGATTACTAGCCTCTTATTCTTTTTTGTTTAGGCTAAACGCACACAGTTCCTGGGACAATCAATCTTCATGGGATTTAACCTTCAATTGCCTTGCCATCTTTTGTCATTCTTCTCTGCATTCTTTCTCAATTGGAGCCCAGTGCTACAAACAACCATGGTTTATATGTAGTTTTCATGCTATCTGCCACATCCTAGAAACTAATGGGGGATAATCGAAGTCACTCTGCAAAAAAAAAAAAAAAAAACCCTCAGGTTTTTGAATTCTGTCCTATCTCCTATTTTAGCATGCATCTAGTTCATGGATTTCTCCAATGGTGGGATCAGAATCACTTAACAAGCAGTTATCTGATTGGGTAGGTGTGGCCGGTTGGTCTTGTGATTGGGTGGGTGATGTCACTCATCACACCCTGAAAACGGCCTGAAAACGGCCCCAAAAACAGCCCCAAAAACGGCCAGAAAATGGCTTGAAAACAGTCCAAAAAGGCAGCCTGAAAACAGCCTGAAAAATGGCCTGAAAACAGCCTGAAAATGCAGCCTGAAAACATGCCCCACAATGGCTGAAAATAGCCTGAAAAATGGGCCAAAATGGGCCAGAAAACAGGCCCAGAATACAGGCCAAAAAATGAGCGGGGGCAGAATCATCCAGTGGTGGGATTTCCTGGTTCACCAAGCTGCGCTGAATCTTAACTACCGGTCCACATGAACCGGTGTGAACCACCATCTCTGGATTTCTCTGTTAATGGCATGTCCCATTGGTCATCAGTTCCAACATGGAAGACAGAGTTCCAACAGAGTTGGAAGGGACCTTGGGAGGTTTTCTAATCCAACCCCTTGCTCAAGCAGGAGACCCATGCCATTTCAGACAAATGGTTATCCAATCTCTTCTTAAAAACCTCCAGTGACGGAGCATCCACAACTTCTGGAGGCAAGTTGTTCCACTGGTTAATGGTTCTCACCCTCAGGAAATTTCTCCTTAGTTCTCGGTTGCTTCTCTCCATGGTTAGTTTCTATCCATTGTTTCTTGTCCTGCCTTCAGGTGCTTTGGAGAACAGCTTGACTCCCTCTTCTTTGTGGTATTTTTGTAAGGGTTCCTTTTGGGGAAAGAGTTGGGATGAAGAATAGATATATGAAGTTGCAGTTATCAATCTCCAGTGGCTCGAGACTAAGAATCTGCTTTGTATTCTTACACAGTAATCAAATACCCAAAACAGGCCAAGATTTTTTTTTTTCCAGCGTGGGATCAGAATTGCAATGCTTGGATTCTTGACTTACTGAAAAATAAATCAACAAGAAAGCCATTCATTGGGCATGAATGCATGCCTTGACTAACCTTCTTCTTTGATGGTCAAGAGATCTGAACTAAACCATGGCTGGACTTTTAGGAGCGAGGGCCTATTCTGACATTTATCCCAAATTCCAAGCTGATCAGGTGATTACTGCAGAGTTTGCCTTTAAAATTCGTAGCCCTTGAATTCTTTCTGGAGGAGAATTTTGGGAAGAATCTGGCACCGATTCAGGCAGTCCTTGATTTACGACCACAAGTGAAGCCAACGTTTCTAAGTGAGTGGTGCTGTAGCCTAGCGATGGAGCTCTCACCTCACAATCA